TATTAGTTGATATACATGATATATTTATCGGTTTATTGCTGGTTTAATATTGGTTTAATGTAACGGTTTAATACCGACTATATAAAGAATATTCTGTACACATTTATTAATCAATGAAGCATATTATTAAAAGGTTGTTACATCTGAAATCCGTGAAACTGAGCTGATGTATGTTGAGGCATAATGGATTTTGATTTCATTTTCGTAATTGATTTTATCATCATGATTATAATGGAAGTACGAAACTAGCTTAAATGTTTAAAGCTAATAATATGTAATCTATAAACACTTGCACAAAAAGAGTTGCTTATACACAAAGGTGACAACACACTTTTTAGTTTTTACATATATATACAAAAGATGGGCACATACATACCATGAATGAATAGTGGATGAGAGAAACAAGTCGGACCATCATATGTTTTACAGTATATCACCTCGGTTATCTCTAGTATATCGAACTTTTGGTGTTTGGTTTTTTCGGTTATCATAGAGCTGTTTCAGAGAATTTGAAAATCTTTTGTAATGCATTCTTATGGAGTGGTTCCCCTACCGCACACAAAGAACCTTAAGTTGCTTGGGAAGAGATATGTCTCTTAAAAGCCAAAAGCGGTCTAGGTGCTAGGCAACTCAAAGATGTCTCTCCTTATGGGTTTGCCTTACGCCTTATTTGGAAGCTTTTTACGCTATCCGACTCTTTGCGGGTGGCTTGGGTTAAACAAAATTTGATTCGCTAAGGCTAATTTTTGGGATGTCAAAGTGGTTCGTACTAGGTTGACGTTGGTTCCATTCCCGAACCGAAGTCATATGGTTACATACATCCGTTTAGCTCTGTCCCAATTCTTACCAAAATCATCATTTGTTTTCGTTTGTACATAACACTCTTCTTTGTTGATTAATATTTTCAACAACAAAAAAAATGAGATAAATTAAACAAGAACCCAAGTCAAATTCGAATTCATAACCAAAAAGATAATAAAGAACAATAGAATCAAGCACAAAACGTGACACACATAAAGCAAAAGAAAAAGTCTAAATATTTGATCAAACACGTCTTTTTTTTTTGTTTAACAATTTAGAAATATTTTTGATAAAATACAATGGCATCTTCAAGACGGTCAACGGGCAAATATCATCTCATCCTCTGATCAAAAGCAAGCTTCCAAGAGACAACAACAACATAGCACAGCCACACTGTTATCCAAAAACACATACTAATTAATAACATTCACAAGCAAACATATATAGAATTTTACATGGTTTAGAGCAGACGGAACCGACTAATTCGCTTATGAAACTAAACTATTCGCGCAATAATCAGCTCCAAACCAAATTTATTTTTTTCATGAAAATATTCCACAATGGTCAAAACATTTTTTTTTTATGTTCTATCAACGTATTTCGGACCAAAATTTATGAATGATGAATAGAAATCAGTATTATCTGTAAGCGAATTAATACGTCCATATAATAATGCACAAAGAGAGAGAGAGAAATGAAGTCAACGCACCATCCTTCGAGAAAGCCAGAGTTTTTATCTTTCTTCTTCTTCGGAGGATCCTGACCATAATGTGGTGGGGGAGGACCTTGATAAGGATACTGAGGCGGTGGACCTTGAGGATATTGCGGTGGAGGATAACCTTGTGCTGGATATCCTTGACCGTATCCTTGCTGCTGCGGAGGATATCCACTTGGAGGATATCCCGGCGGAGGATATCCCGGCGGTGGATATCCTTGATCCTTTGGAGGATACCCTTTAAAAACAGCAACAAAAACAACATTAAGATTCAAGAAAAAAGAAGAAATTTTTCCTAAAGAATATTTAACATAAAATTGAATCATTACCTTGAGGAGGAGGAGCACCAACGGGATGTTGATGATCTTGATTATACATC